GTTCTTTATTTAAGAACGGAGTTAACAAATATATAACACAAAAGACTTACGAGAGCCGCTGCCTTGTGTGCCCACCATGGCGTGCTGCTGGGGCCACTCCTGGGGACCCCACACTCTGCCCCAGCCATCTCTGCCGCAGAAGCAATGGCAGGGGCTGCGCGTGCCCAGGGTCTTAGAGATTCAACTGCATTAGCCCTGCCTGACCCTGACTCAACGAGGGAGGCCCCCACTCCGCATTCTTTTGGCAGTGCCGGAGATGAAATCCAAATCACAAAGGAGAATTCCCACTCCCTTGGGCTTTTGATACAAAGTATGCTTTTCAGTGCCCTGTTTCAAGATACACAGGCTTGAAGAGGCACCTTTCAGAAGCTGAGCAGCAATTCTAGCTATTCCAGATGCATAGGCAGAGATTTTTGGGCCTGATCCCAGGAGCAGGACAGGGTGGCCACAGGGCTTTGTGTGAAGTCACTCAGCCATTGATGAGTGACAGCTGGGTGGATTCTCAGGCCTAGACTGCTGAGGCCAAGGATTCTAGACTCTCATGTCAGGACTCCAGGCTCTGACTCTGACTGGCATCAGCCGGAAACATGCTCAAAAGGCAGGGTGGGTCTCAGGCCCCACACAGACCCACAGGGCCAGAGCCTGCGAGTCCAAGTCCCAGGGGCTCCTCAGTGGCCTCTTGGAAGCCTGAGCCCTGCCTGGGCTAGCAGAATCCCCAGCCTCAAACCGGCCTGGGTGCTGCAGCTCCCATCCTCTGCCTGAGCTATTCTGTTGCCTTTGGTGGTTCTTGTTCTGTATCCCACGCAATGGGAACCCCAGCCCCACCCATCCGCACAGAAGGGATGTGATGGGATGAAGGGCAGGGCAGGGCGGTTGGGCCCCAGCACATGGCTTGGGGAACCCCCCACATTTGGTGATCCTGAGCCCTCAATCTGGTGGTGGTGTTGCTCGAGAACCACGGCTTACAGGGAACACGGCTGAGAAAAGGGAGAGGAGCGGCTGTGGAGTGCAAGGGCCGCAGCTGCCGCCCCTTGATACACTGTGGGGTGGAACCCTTTACTCAGTGAAGACTCAAGGCCTAAAATGGACATGTTCTTCCCCCAGGCTTAAAAGCCGGTCTTGGCAGGAGGAGGACACAGACAGGAGGGCCTCGAATGCAGAGGCTGAACCCTGGTCAGTGTACCCGCTTCAGGATCTGACCGCGGCAGGTGAGACCCCAAACAGAGGCCCAGACCATGGCCTGTGCAGCCCCTCGGGCTCCAGGTCTGGATGAGACGCAGCTGCTCAGCAGCATCCAGGGCTGCCCCAGGGCCCTCTGGTCCCCAGAGCCCTTATCCTCCCAGGGGCTCCCACACCCACATTTCTGCTGATTCCCTCACATACATAGCCAAGTCTGTAGCTTTTGTGGAGACTAAATTTTTTCTTGAATTTAATTGATTTTGAAAACAATAAACAATAATTATTGCACACACAACACCAGGGCAGACTTTGGCTCTGTGCAAGCAGGAAACACAACTAAAAGTGTGAATCTGGGAAGCAAGTGGGCACCGACGGGATGAAGCATGAGCTCCGGGCAGGAGAAACCCTGTTCAGTTAGGCTCCCAGGCAGCTCTGCACTGACCGATGGGCCAACCTGGCCCTGGGCAGTGCGCGTCCATCCTGTGGCTGCCTGGGACCTGTCCTGGTGCTTGCAGCCTCTGGAACGCCCTGCGCTATGTGCTGTCACTCCATCTTGGAAACGAGTCCCTAAACCAACCAAGTATTCAAAGTATTCAAAGAGCAGGAACTGCAACAGGAAGAAAAATTATTGATTTTGGTTTTGTGCCATCCTTTTCTTTGCTATCTCACTTTAAAATATTTAGACTTTCTAATCCCTTAGCAGTGAATATGCATTTATAATATTCGCAGAATCTCTGAAATGTTTAATTAAGAAGAAAAATAATTCTTCAGACTAAACAGCAAAGCATGAGGGGATAACAGAGCTCATGCAGGCAGGGTTTAGTTGCAGGCCTTTCTGAAGGACCAATAGACCCGGAAGAGCTTTCCACGTGTCCCCGGGATGCCTCCCAGAGTGTGCCCAGGGGAGACAGGAGATGAGGAGCTTGCGCACGACTTCTGTGAGCTGACATTGCCAGAGTAGGTGGTGGCTGTCACTGCCTCCGAGATCCACGTCACTCGTTATAACCCAGGCCAGGGCTCAGAATAGCGGTTCCCAGGGAATGCTTATTCGTGGAGTGAATAAAGGAAGGAAGAATAAATGAAGGAGCATCAGGCCCAGGCCTTCTGAAGGAGCCTGCACACACGGGGCTCGGGGCGACGCTGCTGGGGGTCTGAAGGAGCCTGCACACAAGGGGCTCGGGGGGACGCTGC